ATGATGTGAGCAGTTTAACGTTTTCCTACAAGATGTCGGAGACAATAAAATGAAAATTTTTATTAGAACAAAGCAAAGTTTAAATATGTTGTTTCGCTAGCATAATCCTGTATGTTAGCCACACCACAATGAAACAAATACCCTAAAGCGCTTTTTAGGCTAAGAATGGAACACTTTGAAAAATTGCACTTTTTGGGGCCACGGTTAATGCGGAAACTAAAAACAGTGGTGGGTCACTGTTTATCGCACAAAAAAGCGCTTTGGGCACTTGTTCTTTTTACAGTGCATAGATAATAATAACCAGAGCTCATTATTGTTCTTCATTCAAGTTTAAATCATCACTCAAAGTCATTAATTTATAGTAAAAGTTAAATTTAATGATAAATATAAATATCCATTAACATACTTCGATGCCTTCTTGTTTGCTAATACTTGTGGGCACACTTAACGTTGTTTCCAGTCCGACAATCGTTTGATCTGACAATATACGTTAGAAAGATAAAGCCTGTCTATAATTTCTCTATTCGTGTCGACATTACCTGACGGTGGACAATTCCTAATGCTATTACTTTTGTATAATATTTTGTTTTCATATATTTGAACTTGATTACACATTCCATAACAAGCACGATCCATAGTTTGAATTTCTTTCTGTAGACAATTTATCCCATTTTTTTGCGATACGGATAATTTAGTTGGCAGACATAGTTTTGTACAACAATGTAATTTACATACCAATGCGCAATTACCTCAAAAAAATAAATAAATTTAAATCTTTATTCATACATTGTTACAGTATGACGTACCAGGATACTCTGTATCATTTTTGCACAGATCACTTGTACAGTAGCATATTGACGTGTTTTGTGTATCTTGGTTGTAAGTGACTATGTAATTCGAAAATGTTGTTATAAATAGTCCAATAATGAAAACTATTGTTTTAGATATCATCTTGCATTAACTATAATTATATTAGTACTTATCATGTTTTACTAACACCAATTGATTTTGACTAACATCTCTGGTAATCATTACTCTGTCACACGAAAAAAGGAACTAATACAGAAAAAATTGAAGGAAATTTCTACTGTACGCAACAGATGTCATTATGCTAATTCTTATCTATAAATTATAAACAAATCATGTAGGCAGCATGTGCTAAAAAGGTTAGCGCTATATTATTCATTGTTAATGTTGAAACATACTATTTGCATTGGTCAATATCCATCAAACACATAGAGTTCAAGTACAAATTAAAAACTTAGAGCCGCTGTTGAGAAAACAAATAAATGGACATGTTTACTGTACAACTAAAACATTTTAAAAATATAGATTCTAATGCCATAATTGACTGTCCGTATCTTTATCATATAACACTTATGAGAAATTAGGTAGTAGCAGATTTATTTCATCGAGAAATTTCAGCCTAAAACCTAAAAATCCGACTTGAATAAAGGGTTGCACATGTCATTCTCTATAAATAAGTGCCTGATAGAGACACTTGAGTTTTTAGAAAAAACTAGCAGCGATTAGCACGCGCCTCTCGAGAAAATTATTTTAAGCAGAAACCATGTCTAAACGGTATTTCGAACAAGAGCACGTTACTTCAAAAAAATACTAAAAAAAACGAAAAAACGCGTTCTACGTTCGAGATGCCATTTAAACGGTGAAAAAAAAAGACAACGCGTTGTTTTCTTTTTTCTTAACATCTTTCTTGAAACGCGTTGACTGTTCCAGCAGTTCAGGTGTGTTGTCAATAAAATAGAGCAGCCCAAAGCCTAATTGAGACGTTCTTTAAATTTTGATTTCTCATGTGGACATCGTTTGGGGAAAAATCTAGTGATTTAGAAAATGTATGGGTCAATTCTGTTAATACACTAAAACAGTTCCACCACAGAGCCTTATCTTCGGGTGAACCTTTTCAAAGTCCAAAAATGACTCCTGCACTCCTGGAAGATTCCACAGAGCATAGGTAACAGAGAGTAGGTAACTAGACTTCCTCTATAAACTGGTAAAATCAGAATCTCCTTATCTGGAAATGTAGATGAGATCTGCAGAGATGCGTTTTCTGTAGGTTAGCACATGAATAGCAGATTTATGATCAGCGTCAAACGTAACCATAAAGCTCTACATTTTACCAAAACCGAGATGACTTTTGAAGAAGGAGTAAATTTTGAATGTTCCCTCGTTCGTACCGTATCTTGGATCATTCGTCCGATAATATGACTACTGCGTTGCGACAGCTTTGCGGAAAGCTAGTGTACGGTTAGTGAGTGTGTGTGCGGGGGCGCTCGAGCAATTGGGCGAAAAGATCTCTGCAAACTAGCATTTTGGCTAGAGCTGCATTTTATAATTAGTGACGATAAGGGTCACCATATCAGACGCTTGCCCATTGTAGGGAAGATATCGGACTGTGGCAGCAGATCTACAGATGAATTTTTTCTTCCTCTTTGCAAGTTTTTCGAAATTCAATGTGTTACGCGCTCGCCTAATAAGTGAATCACGTGATACATCAATCTTTGAAATATGTGTGACTCGTGATACATCAATATTGACGCTACTCTTAAAGTCATTTTTTAACCTTTTCGCGCAATGACGAACACGAATGGTTTTAAGAAAAAAACGACAGGCCAAAATGCCAAAATATTTTCCCCAAAACAAAACCAAGCATATTTCAAAAAAATATCGGCTGTCCTCAATAAAAAAGCAGTGTCATCCAGTAGGAAGAAAAAATCCATGATTTTGAATCCCAGACAGCTATCAAAAAGTCAACAATCTAGATTACATATAAAATCGAACTTGGAAGAAACGTTTGAAAAATTGTCAAAAAGAAGGTAAAGAGTACTATATCTACGCTGTAAATTTAGAACGTTGATAAACGAACCTTTTAGTATTAAGGCAAAAAAACAGACGATCGACTATCTGAAAAGTACTTCTGTCGTGCACTTTTTTTGTCCATGTCTAATGCCATTAGTAAAATTGATTCCAAAACCAACAGATTCATTTTTAAAACGAATATTTATTGAAAATACGTTTGAGTACGATGTAAGTTAGATGTGGCTCTAATCTATTTTATATTCCTTTTAAAAAATATTCTCGATTTAGCTAACTAAATCGGTTGTTGGCTTCCTGATTGGACTTTGTGGCATTAGTTTAATGAGACACATGGCTATTTTCGTGTTCCGAGCAAAAATAACGGCTGTAGCCATATGGATTATAGCTGCTGGTTTAATATTACCATGGGGCTTAGCATTTAGTATGGTGATTCGATGTTTAACATTGCTGATTTTACCAACTTTCATTTCAAGTAAGCAGCAACTTTGAAGAGTAAGAGTTTGAATCAAAAGAGGAAGAGAATATTGAGTAATTGCTTCTACCTTATCAGTGGGTAGAAGGGAACGTTATTAACCTTTTGGTCACATGCCCGATTTCCATTTTAGATCGTGGTCAACTGATAATGTATGCTCTTATATCTAATCATTTAGTTCGTTATGTAATAACAAATATTTTAATTAATTATGATGCTGCCGGTTTATCTATTGCATGTCTAAGAAATTTAGTATTGACACATGCTGGTGCTATTGAACAATTGAGTATGACACCGCTCGTATGTAAGTTAACATGAACAACCGTCCAGTCATTTCAATTTAACTGCGTTATTATTCTAGATGCAGCTGGAAAACTCTTAGAAATCATTGAACGTTTTACAAAGTTTATCAGATTTATACGAACAACATATGCCTCCATCAAGTTCTTCTTTATGCTATTGGGTAGTGTGATCGTGCTGATCGGAAACAAACGAAAACGAAGTGCTCTTTGCTTTTATTATTTCAGCTGATATTTTCACAACATTATACAAGTTTTTTAAGCATCTGGTAGAAAGTTGTGAACGCATTAGTTCTGTCACATTGGTATCCACATGCTACGATGGGCTAGGGGGTTTTATTCGAAACGCTTGTAAATTGTGTGGAGTGTTTATAGTTCATGAAGCATTGATCAAAGCTCAGATATGTGCATGGTTAACAGGTACTGTCGGTCCAGACTAGTTCTGTGCGCTTTTGATGAAGTTGGACGTAGCGTGGAATTTTTTAGGCGTCTCACAACTTGCATGAGATGAACTGTAGGAACCTCATAGACAACTGAAACATGGATAATCAATACACTTGCTCTAGTGACATTTCTGTCGGAAGTTCTGGAGATGAAGGTTGATTTTCAGGAGAACTTCTGAACACTGGTCAATCAACAGCTTTTCATCTTATTCATTCAGCCATTCACAAAACTTTTCTGGACAAACCGCTGTTAATTTTCATAACAGTTATTGGCATCGTTTTATCTGTATTACCATGAATATTAATCTTTCAGAACTTATTTTCAGAACTTATTTTTTCTATTTTCAGTTATCGTAAAAACTGGATGTGGATTAAAGCTTGGCATTAAATGGCTAATAAGTATAACTCTTCCAGGTACGTAAACGACAGATGTAGTACAATACATATAGCTTGTACGCTTGTACTCAAAACTTTAGCCGTTCGAAAACGTTTACATTCACTAATAAATCAATTAGTGTTTGAAATAACTGTTCATCATCATTTTGATATGCGTTTGGAAATGTCTGATGATCCAAGATATCTATTATATTTGATACAAAAAGAGTTACTTAAACGTCTCGATTTCTTTTTATATATAATAAAAACAATCGATTTTGGAATATTTATTTCAATCATGTTTTTATTTGTCAGGTGGACATATTACTCTTAATAAAAAATAGACAATCTATATATTTTGTTTATTTTTAGTGTTATACTCTATTGGGTTCGTTGGAGAAAAAGTGATTTGTATGATAATCATTATGTTGAATGTTTATTTCACTCAATCGATCAACAACGAAAAAAACAACGAAAACAAAGTATTTTACCGCTAACATGGAAAGAAAGTTGGAAATATACTAATGTTTGTAAATAAACATATTGTTTTGGGAATGAATGTCATGTTTCGTTGTGTATCTATATATTAATTTCTATAGTTTCTCCAATAATTAATGGTCAAAGTTTTAAAGAATTACTGAATGGTCTCTACTATTGGGCGGTGTTGATGCTAGTTTCCACTGGATTCATTGGACTTGACCATGGATCGTGGTTTGTTTTATCAGCGTTTCGAAAAAATATGAATGTTACCATTCGACCCTATGAAGGTAAGCTGAGTTGTTTCTCTCCTCGTCCATCGATGATTTTCTTATTTCTCTCTTCTATTTGAGTTGTGTAATTTCCAGCTGTTCAAAAATTTGAATTGTGGGTGAATGGTACTGGTATTGTAACAAAATTAATGCAAGAAATTGTTAGTGCAACGCAAATAGATGAATTTCGAAATGTTGAAATAAGATTATACGAATGTGCTCCAATTGTAGTAGAACCAGATCATACTCAAACGATTGTTATTGGTACGTCATTAAACTTGTCGGGAAATAAGACGATACTATTTGATGGACTTGTGAAAACTACTCTCTTATTTCTGTTCAGGTGTTCTACTTAGTGTGTCATTGTTATCACTATTATTTAAATCCTATCTTTTACGCTTGAGACCATTGATTATGAGTATCTATTATCCGGAAAGACATCGTGAACGAATATTATGGTTGTATAATCATATTTTAATTCGTCGTTCAAGTTAGTTCATATTGGTTTGCATTAACACAAATCGAATCAAATTTTTCTTTAAACATATTAATAGGTGCATTAAAGGAAATATGTCGTCGTATTCGAGATGGTATCTCATTCAGTTATAAAGATGAAGAATCATATCCCTTAATCTCATATCTTGTACACAGGTTATACATGTCTCTTTGTTGACTATTGACTGTTTTTTGAATTTAATGGTGTGTGATAATTTTTTATCAGTTCTCAAAGAGACATTTCTGTCATAGAAAATACTTCATACTATACGATGATAGTTTGTATTTCGAAATGATGGAAGTATATGAGATAGTTTCCCAATCAAACGCATATTTAAACAGTTGGTTTTATTCTTTTAGGTACTTATTTATATTGAATATTGCAGCTTTGTGTGGTCTATCTTATGGAAAATTCAATAAACAATGTCGAGGTTGTGGTTATCAATATTCTGTTCATCGTCGTAATCTATTCAGAGCATGCGATACACCTGGTTGTAAAGGTACTCTAACCACTTTTATATAGTGATCTCATAACTGTCTAATATTTTGGTGTTTTCTAGGTTATTATTGTTCTGATTGTTGGACAACATTAAACCAAATATGTATTTTATGTTCGCTTGCAGAAGGTCCGTCTGATTTCGACGAAGAATTTGAAGAGGATGTTTTGTGAGTATATAAATGGCATAATGATATTTCGTCAAAACAACCTCTATATCTTTGATTTTAGTAATTTTGATGACGAGGACAATAACGAGAATGACGAAGATGACGAATATGTAAAAGAATCGATATCGAGTATAGAGACGCAATCATTAAAATCAAATTATTCCGGTACAAAAATGAATAGGAGAAGTGCCAATAAAGTTAAGAATTAGCCGATTAAATTATCAAAACGTTGAAAGAAGGAAGCATCATAATTTTTATGATATTAGGCTTCACATCCACAAATTCTGCAACTATCAAACTATTCTACACTTTTTTTAAGATTGCAATTTTCCATTATGTTTTACATATATTTAGACGTTCTTGAACGATAACCTGAAGAACATTCAGACGTTCTAAAAGCTCAGATCTCTAAACTAGAGAGAATAGTCACTGTAAGGCTGATTATGATCTTGTTTTTCTGATCAAGATGTCTGAGGGTCCTGGAAAGGCGTTTTTATAAAATTTTGAAAATACAGCGTACTCAATGTGTTGCACTACATATTTTCAACAATTATGTTAGAAAAAAGTTAATCTTGTCCAAAATCCATTTTCCTGCATTCATCTAAACTAAATCTTTAACGATCAACCTTCATCATGTTATACTTACTATGTGTACTAATTTCAACTGAAAGCCTATATGTATCTTTTCGTAATAAATTTTATAATAGTCTCCTATACAACAAAGGAGGGGCATTAGTTAAGACAATTTTTACCCAAACTTTTTTGCGCTTTTGATTCTGTAAGAAACATAGAAATGGATTCTCGACGTAAGATCTTATAGTAAGATTTCATCAGATTTCGTAAGATTCTTGTATAAATTTTATAAGATTTTATAAGATGAATCTATTTCGTTGATTTTTCGTAAGATTTTATAAGATCGTGTAAGATTGGTTTGATTTTTTGACCTGGGTGGGAAAAGTATGGAATACAGAATAGATGCCGTTGTTTAGGAGGGATAATGAAAAATTGTAAGATTTCTCTCTAGAGTTTTTCAGAAGTAAAGTTTTGGAAGTTTAAAGGGATTTCTGAAGTGACACATTGAATTTCAAGCAACTTGCTGAGAGGAAGAAAAAATTCATCTGAAGATGGAAATACACTGATTTTTGAGAAAGTACACCATTTAACTGTGACAGGCAGAAGAAGAATACTTCGTCTTGTGGTTACTGTTACCGGTAAGGAGTGCTAATAGTGTCTGCTGCAATAGTCCGAATGAGCTTTTAGGGCTTTTAGGAACAGTTCCATAACTTTTGAAGCAAGGAAGTTCCGGTGAAAAACTTTTGGGACTCTACCTAAGTGTGTGAAATCGAGACATTTTTTTGGCTTCCTTTGTTATAAACAGTCTTTGCTCGGTGCCTGTCTAAGGATATAAAAGCAATAAAAACTTGTAATAATTCCTAAGTTTAGTCTCTATGAGGCAAGGGCAATAGTTGCTCAGTAAGTACTGATACTGTCTTACTGAGGAAGAACTTACTTAGTAAATAGTACTGTGCTTTTGTTCGATGCAGACTGCAGCTATGAAAAGTTTTTGAAAAATAATGTCAGTTTTATCGTTATGAGACAGGACGTCCTTACTCAGTAAGAACTTACTTAGTAAGAAAGGACTGCTATACTTTACTTCAATGCAGACTCAGAAGAATTCTCCTTTCCTTACTTGAAGAAAGAATTTGAAGAAGTTTCCTTACTAAGTAAGGAAGTTCTTCCTTAGTAAGACAGTATCAGTACTTACTGAGCAACTACTGTCCATGTAATCGTTTGCGTTCGAAAAGCGCGTTTGAACGCTAGTTTTCAGAAAATTTTGAGATAAAACGCGTTTGAACGCTTCTTTTGGCGTTTAAATCTGAGTTTGAGTCGAACGTGTTTATGTGTGAGACGCGTTCGAACGTTTTTTTTTAAGTGTTTTTGTTCAGCGTTTGAAACCGTTTGACTATTAAAGGCGTTTAGTCGAAGATATTTAGTACTACGAACTCGTTTGAAATATTGAACGCGTTTTTATTTGAACACACGTTTGAACGCTGTTTTGAAACAGGTTACAACAGCGTCTGAAAGCGTTCCTATTATTAAACGTCTCGGCACGTTGTAGATATTTGATACTCCGAACGCATTCGAGGCGTCCTAATTTGAACAGACGCCTGAACGCAGTTTTGAAAAAGGTTTGAACATCGTTCAAAACCGTTTATATTATTGAACAGGTTACATTTTTATTTTACTACTAACTCTCTCTAAATAAATGAATACATTACTTTTGAGACATACGAAAGCACAAGTCTTCAACTACATGTTAAAAAAGTTTCATTCAAAATTTGGATGAAACTTAATTCATGTGTTCATCTGTGTATGAAGAGTTAACATTAAAATAAAAGAAAATGCTACTGTACGGCTAATTTCTTGGTCTGGAAAGAGTTATTTTAGAAATATGAAGGGCTCGCTAAAAATAGCTGGCGACATTTTCCAGTAGGCAACTGCTTGTTCTGTTCATGCGGATGATAACCGCAGTACTGAAGAAAAGAAAAGGCCCTAGCGAATGTACTTGAATTCGGGTACCTAAAAACTTTGGCTGCTGCAAACCAAGTATGTATAAGTACCTATGATATTACTTGGATGGGGACCTAAAATTGCTTTTAGGTAGTTTAATACTTAGCTGAGGCTAGCAGAGGTACCTAAAAATAGACTTAGAAGATACTTAAATACTTTTGCTTGCGGAAGCCGAGTGCCTATCACTGTAGTAGGGTACCCGATTTTTGCACATTCACTAGGGGCAGTATCTTAAACAAACAAAAGTACATCTAGAAAATTGTGAGACGAGATGATAAGGAGGGTACACTGATTAACAGTTTTCAAAATTTTAAGACAGAATATGATGAGGAAACGGGAGTTTTATTTTAAACTATAAAATAAAACAAAAATACACAACGAAAACAAACAATAACGCTGTACGATAAAAATAGATCACCTCACATAGTACCAGTAATGGGCCGAAATACCACGAAACGAAACAAAACGACAAAATTGCTAATTTCTGTTCACCGATATTCTGTTCTTTCGTTCATGACTGAAACGGAATATACGTTGTTTCGTAATTTCGTATAAGAAATAAATGACGTACTTTTTTCGTTATAGGGGTGTTTCCACGCACGTCCGCCCATTTATACAAAAGTTTTGGCCGGGTGAATCTCACTATGCTCATTAGATAGAGCATGCCAAGTTACATATAAATCGATATTTTTTATTGACAAAAGTTAGGCCGTTGATGGTGAACCAGT